ATTTGATAATGATGCGATCATCATCAAAATAACTCGAGTTATTCTGTTGGTACGATCATAGTAAGGTGCCGGATAATCTTTATTATTTAAACATAACAGAACCAAGCCATTATAAGCAAGAAATTCTTTGTGGTATGATTAATGATAAATACGGAAAGAGGACAAACATTGAACATTGAAATAGTTGTATAGATAAACACAATATTTTAGAACCATGCATTGATTGTCGTAATCAAACTTTCACTAACAATAAATAAAGAAAGAATGAAACCAAATTTTCACTAATAATAAATGAAGAAAGAATGAAAATCGAAATAAATTATAGGGACCAATCAAAAAATTGTAATTGCACTAGAAAACCTTTTAGATTTTATTTTAATGCTTTTTTAAACGATAGTAATTTTAATTATTTATTTGAATGAAAAATTTTCATAATTCTAGATCTGTTATTACATACAGTTGATGCAAATTTAGAACGAAAAATATGATTAAGCTTATTTCAAAAGTTGATAAGTTTTTTTAGGTACATTATAAATATAATAGATTAAATAATTCAATTTTATTTATTTATTATTGTAATTATTATGAAGGATTAAAAAATATAATACACAAGTTGATAATATTTCTAATAAGTGAGATACAATATTATGAATTGATTGGTATAATATAATAGAATTATTCAGAATAATATCAAACGTATTTATAATTTTGTAATAATTAGTTATATGTTTTTACTTATACATTTTTCCTAATAGTAAAAATCGGAATATTCTAATTGTATAACGTTTAACTGAGCTAACCGTGTTAACCGTTTAAATCAGTTAGAATTAAAATAATTATGATTTCATGACTAACATAATTCTGTCTGGGACTTTGTAAATGGTTGAACGATTACAATCCTAATTATTAATTTAATTAAGTAAAAAGATCATGACATATATCGATACAGTATGTTGTAATTTAAACCCAAATTAGGTAACAATAAATTGAAATAATCGAGATAAGCCAATTATGAAACAATGATCTACAAAAGTTAGCGTTAGCAATAAATATCGGGCTACCATAAATGGTCATATACAAGATCCCCCACAGTAGATGTAGTATATACGTAATGTATTACGATGCAATCACATTTAACCAAAATCACCTATGGTGACAATTTAGCATATATCGATATATCATTGGTAAATCGTCACGTTATGTGATGTTGATTAATAACCCTTCGGTTTCCTTGTTTTAATGATCATTATTACATGTGAAATCTATTGGAGATTTTAAAATTGGTGGAATGTAAAGGACCTTGTCATGTATAAGGCTGCATTAGATCATCAAATAACATATACAATTATGAATGGACTCACTACCAAATTTTATACAGCGTGAGGAGGTAGCTACGTATCTCTTTTTAAATGTCTCTGTCCATTATCTTGTATACGACCATTTACAATAATTTCATGTGGCATGATACGAAATACAATATTTTTCTAAACATAAATTTGATAGAATTTTAGAAATTCAAATACTGGATAATAAAGTTAAAAGCTAAAAAAAAATTAAAAAAATTGTCAAAATCGTTACGAAAATGTTAAATTCATATATTAACTTGAAACATAGCAATTAAAAACTTATTTGATTGGCAAAAATTTAGATAATGAGTCTGATCGGCACATTTCGAAATGGAGAAATAATTAAATTCAGCTCATTTTAGGAAATTAACCATCTGGATGAACTTAACTCCGTAATTAATTGTTTCAGGAAGTATAATTTCTAATTTTGTCATAGTTAATAAATCTTTGATTATCGAGAAAAAAAAAGATTTAAATACACCCACCCATTTCGTTATGGCTTTCAATTCATAGTGCTCATTCCACTTTAACATTTAATCAACTGAGCTTGTTATTTATAACAATTAAACTTTTATTTGTCATTTTATCATCATTGGGCTGGTCTCAAATAAGAAAAGCCAACTTTCTACATTCTTTATTCTTTTTTCATAAAATCATCAAACATGAAGTTTTTAACTGTTATTTCAGCTTGTTTGGTTCTTTCTTTAACCATCAATGCTGCACCAATGGGTTTAGAGAAAAGACGATTTGGTCAAGAACATACTCCGGCAGCTGATGCAACCTTCCAAGAGATTAAAGATATCGCTCAAGGTACTGGTACGGAGGCCCAAGCTGGAAATCTGTCAGGCGCTATGGTTAGGGCACTTTTAGCTAAAGCTCCTGCATGTGATCAACAAGATCGTGCTGATGAAATTATTGATCTTGCTGAGCAACTTGGAGGTAAGCTATTATTATTTGCTATTTTGTTTTTTTTTTTTAGTTTAATGATTAACGGATTAAATATTTATTATTTAATATTCGAATAAAATTTATGAATAAAAAAAAAGGTAATAAAAAGAAACAATTGATTAAACTTGCCAAAACATATAGACAACTTGAACGCAATACTCCTAATGCTGGTCAACCATCCGAACTTTGTAAAGAGTATGTTTCATACTATCTCATTGAATAAATATATGACGTTATAATAATAATATTTATTATATTATTGTAATAGGAAGCCAAGACACAAGGAGCTTAACGGGTTAAAGCAAGCCCAAGATCCAACTGGCAGTCCTAAAAGTAGTGATCCTAAAACTGGTGATCCTAAAGCTAGTGATCCTACCACAACTGTTGGTGGAGAGCAATGTGCTGATAAGAAAAATCAAAAGAAAAAGGAGTGTAAAAATGAAGCAGAAACAAAACCTGTTGGCGGAGTTAAAATGCCAAAGATAACAAAAGATGGCGCCCAATTTGTAGTTAATGGGAATAAATTTCAAAATCTTGATGCCGCTCACGGTCGTCAATGCGACATTCAGGTATGTTGTTTTGATTTAACTTATTATTATCTTAATTACTTAATAAAAATAATCTAATTATTTTTTCTCTTATTCTTTTTTTTTTTATTTCTTAACGTTAGCATAATTTATGCTTCAATAAGTTCAATGGAGGTGATAGGAGTTTCAGTGGTGCAGATTGTGATAATCAAACTAATGTTTGCAAATCGGGTGCTCCAATTTTCGGATAATTAAATACAAATACATTAGTTGAATTTTGTTAACAATGCTGAGCCTAAATAAATGCATTAAACTAGAAATTAATAAAATTAATTAATAATAATAAACTATAATAAACTTTTCGGTTTGATAACTTTAATCTGACCGTAAATTTATAAAAGGTTTAGTTTTAAAAAGTTGTGACAGATTATTCTTTATCAGTTTTATCATCAGTTTATCATTAAAGTTTATATCATTACTATGATCATAGAATTTTTCGTTATTTTTTGCACATTATTACTCATTTAGCCAACCACGATGACCCACCTAGTATCGCCGTGTGGAACATCAGTCTAATTACAAGCATGATGCAGGTATATAATCAAAATTTTTTAAAGTACTGTAGATTAGAGATGAGCAAAGTCAGTTACTTAATATTACTTAACATTACTGTGAAGTAGGTAATAATAAATAGTTTTATAATAATTTGATTCTTAGCAGCAATTTTTCGTTCAATCTCAATTTTGATCACTCGCCTTTGACTGTTATTATGTATTTTATTTGTATATGTTGTGCCTCAAATTAACGCGTGCGTCAGTTAACAGTTGAGGCATCTCAGATGTCAGTCGTTAGGTGAGGTGCCTCAGATAATCAATCGACACTTGAGGCATCTCAACTGTCAAATAACGTATTTATAAAATAAACAAATAAAAAAAAATAAAATGCACATTTTTTTTGACTTGCATTTTCAATCGCATCTAATTTATTTGAGCACTATTGCTTCTAGTTTATCTGCACATTACATATTGCATCTAATTTTTCTAATTTACAACTAAGAAAATTTAAATTTTATTTTTACATAAATGCCCTCCGTGACACCTACTAGTACACATTCTATTATTTTTTTGTAACAACATCTATTATTATCACATTTGCCTTTGCAATTACAAATTAAACTTGATGTTGTTCCTACACTTTGGAGTTGTGATGCCTTTCTAACTGATATTTTTTCAGATGGTATGATATTGAGTTCAGGGAATTCAGTAGTATTCAAAGATTCAAGCTTATCAGCACAATAATTAATATCAATTACATCAAATTTTGAACCTAACTGGTATTTATCATTCTCTGTTTTCTTATAATTTTGCATGAAAGAGTTGAATGATCAATTTCAAATCTATCAATTTTAGGAATAGAAATTTTAATTAACTCTCTAACTTCATATGATGTCAATTATTTTTTCCTTTTGACATTTGATGTATCATCTTTTTAGTATAATTTTCAAGATTTTGACATACAGGTTCTTGTAATATTTGATGTTAACTGGAAATATCATTCATAATATCTGCAAGTTGAATATTTTCAATGTATTTTGTATATAATACATATGTTAATTAAATTTATAAATAAATATTTATTAACTTATTTTCATTATTATTATATAAACTTTTTACGATATCTTTGAGATCATTTAAATTTTCTATACAATTGATGTCCTGAATTTCAATTGTATCAGGAATGTTTTCTTCATTCTAAATGCTCTTTAAAAATAGTTTATTAACTAATGTGCAATTTCTTTAAGTTTATTACTATATATTAATTCATATGGTGTTTTTTATATAACTGGCAATAGTTATTGTTCATTAAGGATATAACAAAATAAAACCTAAATGATCAATAATTTTATTTTGTTTTTTCTTTATTTAACCAGCTTTTACTAAAAAATCCTATTTGCATGTTCTACTAAACTCTGAAATTATGAATAATATAATTGTTCATTTATAATTTTTATAAATGGTCATATTTGTATAAGATTTTTAATCTCTAAAACACAGAACTTTTTATTATTTTCTAACTGAAGCATTATTGAAGATGAATTTAATGAATGAAATAAATCAAATAAGTAAGTTGCAATTTCTATAGCCTGTTTTGATATAAGTAGTTTTGTTCATAAAAAATAACTAAAATGGTATCTAACATGACAAATATATTTATATTCATCATTAGTATTGAATGATAGATCAATTAAATCCATCTTAAAAATAATTAATATTACTATTAAATTTTTTTTAAAAATAATAAAATATTTGAAATATAATTAATTTATCTGAAGTTGAAATAAAAAATTATAAGCAATTATAGATTTTATAGTTAATGAATAAAATAATAGTTTGTGTACTATATATATTAAACAATTGTTAACAAATTTTTCAATAATGTTTTGTTGAATCTACTTTCACATTCTCCTAATTGACTTTTATAATTGCTTTTACCTACTATGTAGGTCAATTTTTTTTTTTTTTTTTTTTTTTTTTTTTTTTAATATTAAAGTTCTTGTCTTTGAGGATTAATTTTTTTATTCAAGTATTTAGATACAGATGCCTCCAAGGGCTTCTATACATAGAAGATTACAACTAGTTACACATGCACTTTTGGTGTCTAATTTAAGTAGTCCACCTATACATTACTATACAGGAGGTGCCATACCTGCAAGCCAACTATAGGTCTTGCTTATTTAAACCCTCTGCATATGTAATCTGAATTGTGATAATAGGGACATCTTCTGAACTATACTCATCCAAAATACCTGATGCTTTCAAGATCCTTAAGACTAGTTTATTTCTGACAGGAAACTTACTAGAATCTTCTATGTTCTATACACAACTGATCTAGTTTTATGTAACATGCTATAGTTATCTAACACTTGCAGTCATAGGAGTTACCTGTTTAACTGCTACATTGTATTATTTCTACTCTTGTAAAGTTTACTAGAATCCTAGTACCTATTATTGTGATGTCTTCTCTATCATCCCTTACTAATTGCTACTTAGAACTGATAAAACTCCTCCAACTTCCAATTCAAATACCCAGTATAGTATATTTATATATTCTTTTCCTTTAGTGATTCTGACAGCCTAGTTAGTCATATACTTCTCTACACATCTTGAAATCTGGTTTATCTACCTATCCCTTTAGAGATGTTTTATGAACTTCTATCAGTCTAACCATATCATTGAAAATTCATACTACCTCTTTGCTCAGAAATTTTCAAGTGAGCTTCTGACTCTTCAGTACTTTAGTTTACTGCATCTAGTGGTTTTATTGTAGGTTTGTACTGAAGTCTTATGCAATACTGATTATTAACATTCTTCTATGTATATATAATATTATACTTGGCATAGATGTCCCAAGTTCCCATTCAAGATGGTGCAACTTAAGGTTACAGATATACAAATACAACTGATCGTTAAGAGACAGTTTGCCATAACACAGATTAATTTCCAAATTTTGTCATAGATGGGATTTGAACCTTAGACCTGTTACTTGGAAGATAATAACCTGACTACTATACTAGGATCATCATTCTCTGTAGATCAATTTTAGTATATGTTTTGAGAAATATTTCATATATATTTTTAACAATTAAGACTAGATTGTTATCTTTTTTTACTATTATTCTAAAGTTTCTAAGAGTTATTTTTTCAAGACAAAATTTTTTTTTGCCCAATTTTAAGTATTCTTATTACTTATATTAACATTAGTGAAGTTTTATAAAATTTTTTTATTTTATTTAAAAGCTAATGCTCTTAAGAACATTAATTTATGATAATGCAATCAAATTTATATAGGGACCTAGTAGTTTAAATTGTGTTCAAACTGCCTAAAAGAGATCTTTCACAAATATGTTAGGTTCAGATCAAATTAAATCTGAATCTACATTATACAGTTCTAAATTCTATCTTGGATTTGATTTATACTTCAAATTGAATCTGATTCTTTAAAAAATATAGTATTTACCTAATTTGGTCTATACACAGATCACTAAATTGAAGATATTCTTTTAATATATTGGAAATTTCTATATTACTATATAGTCCATTTATATAAATAAAATCTAATAATAAATATTTTATATATCATAAATTATCTAGATAATAAATAGTAATTATTATAAATAATTTTTTATATATGCTTGTAGTCTATATATTAGTTATTAATAAAATACTACCCAGGATTTTTTGTAGTTTTTTTTAAGTATCTTATATTTATTATTAAAAATATTCATTATATGTCTTTTTATAGAATTAGCAGATAGACTAAATAAAAATATTTGAAATTAAATATAGTATTATACTAAACAAATAATAATAATAATATATAATATAAATATTATGCCTTTTATTTGAGGCTCTAAATACAAAATTATATTTTTAAGTCCATCATTTTCAATTAAATAAAATAGTCAATTATGTATAATAATCTATTGTTTAATTATATTATTGAGTTTTTTTTAATCCAACTCTTTATATTGATTAATTTGCTAGTTATTTTTTAATATATCTAATACAAAAATAGATTACTTATTATTATTATTATTTACTTTTAATACTTTATTTATATAAATATAAAGCTTAAGATGTTTTCTGAGATTTGAAATTAAACTATTAGTATATTTTAGCAATTTATTACAAATTTTATATTTGCCAAACACCTTATTCTTTAATAATATCTTATTCTTTAATAACTTCTTATTCTTCTTATTATTTAGCTTTTGTTTCACAAAATATCTCTATACAAATAACTTATTATTTGTTATAGTAACAAGTTCAGACTCTATAATAGATATTAGCTGTATAGTCTTAGTTTTATCTAAGAATGTTATTTCAATATTCTCTGACTTATATGATAATAATAATAGTATAAGCAAGACTAATATGATAACTTGTATAAAAAATAATTTTAATTTATATTTAAATTTAAAATATTATGAATGTTATAGGTTTTATTAATTAAGCTTACTTATTTAATTTGTATTATATATGAACACCAAGTTAATTTACAAAAAAAAAATATTATGAGATTAATCAAATAACTAAGTACTCAAAATCTATTCAGAATTCAAATGTGCACAAGCACTTATTTACATTTTCAACTTTTTTTTTTATTTTACTATCTGACAACATCTTTAAACTATAACTTTGTAACTTTTTTCATACAAAGTTTGACTATATTATGATAAGATACATATATA